CACACACACACACACACACACACACACATACACACACACACACACACAAATATAGGCCTAATAATATACAGAAAAAACCCCAACTGAAACAAAACGGAGAACAAGGTGGAATCTATTATCTATTTGTGGTGGCCGAATTTTGCTATTCAAAAGGCTTTTTAATGGCTACATCGATCGACATGCGGTTTTCGCCAAAAGATTCTTTAAAATATTCTACAGAGCATGGTGCCCTTGGTTTTTTCAGTTTTGAGACAGTTTTGCTGTAAAAAACTAAATTTCTTTATTTCGCCGATCGCTTTTGTTGGCCGACGCTTCTGTCTCTGTAATTTTAGAATATCTGGAAGTGATATTTCGCGAGGCGCATTTTGTTTTGAGAGTATAGATCTGGATCTTATAATTTTTTGCATCTCTCATGATTTATTGCCCCATTACAGTAGAGTGTATATAGTAGGCCAATGACTTTCAGTTGATATTAAAGCACCGATCATTCCTTTCATCGAAAGGGGGCACAGCTAGTGTTTATCTAAAAGTTTGTGAAAATATGCTTACACGTACAGACACACACACACACACACACACACACACACACACACACACACACACACACACTTTTTCCGAGTGAAGCTTAGTTAATTTCATTAGGGGATGCCGTATCCTATTCAGCCCATTTTGGCCTCGAAAGACCATGGAGTCAAGTACGCTTTCTAAGTGATCTTAATTGTGTCTGTTATGGCAGCCGAAAATACAGTTTACAGTCAATCAAATTCAGCCAACAATCAAACTATCGATAACACTTATAGATAATAAATTTCATGCTTACGACAACGAAGATGAAGCCGAGAACAACGATCGAGGCCATGACTAAAGAGCCTCCGTCGTAACAACACGCACTTTTGAATCACCCCTCATCAACTAACAGGACCAATGATCGTATATAACAAGATGGTTCACTCCGCCAAAAAAGTGTCCGCGGAAGTCCGCGCATTGCTTCAGATAGCGCTGCAGTCTTTGTTTTGAAACTCTCTTTCGTTTCTCCAGAAGAAGAATAGGAATAGCACCTCCTTGCGTGCGCAGATCAACTGCTATTCATCAGCTGTTCGCGTTCGTTCAGTGCCGAGTTTTAGTTTTTTTATAAATTTAATGACCTCTCACCTCTCATTCTAAAGTCAAATTAAACGAAGGGAAACAGTCGCCTCTTCCTTCGGAGGAGAATTTTGTCTGCGTAATCATTTTTAAAAAGTGTTCTTTCGAAATTTGAATTCTTATTTATTCAAAAACTTGTTAGTTTCATTTTGATTTTTTTGATACAAGTAGGGTAAATCAGTTCGCAAAGGGTGCGAGTTTGCGAAGAGGGCGCCACCAAATTTTGAGGACACTTTTTTAATTAGATTCTAGCTCAAAGAGAGGAGTGAACCATCTTGCCATGTACGATCATTGAGGGGACTTACACTATCATAAACAACTTGCTAATTACACGGAATATCGATTCTAGTAGATTTAGACTCCTTGGTGAAATTGCTTAGGCGGTCTCGGTCGCGAGAGCAGTTTATTACTCACCGATATCTAGATGTTTGAGTGCACTCTTCAAACACTTTTTTCCTTCATTTCTCTGAGTTTTCTTCTACTAAATTTTTTAAAATTTTTTTTATTGATTTTCATTTTTATAATACCGGCACGATCTTTGTCTTCATTTTCTTCTAAAAGGATACAAGTTCATCTTTCACTTTATAACAATTATGCAACAACTTAATATGAAGCAATCTTTCCGAATAAGAAACTCAAGAAATCACAAGGCGAGATGGTTCATGTTAAGATTGTATGAAACCCGATAAGTGATATAATATGAGACTGAAACAAACTGAATATTATTATTATATTCTCAAGTCAGTTCTATTGATATATTTGATTTGAAGTTATAATGGGAGAGCACGAAACGAAATCTTCTCTACCCCTCTCCCTCAAGGGTTAACTATACTCTACCCTTGTAGGAATGTCCGATCCTACATTCTAATTCAAAGAAGTCTGCTCGTTTACTAAAACTATATATTATGTGATGTTAATATCCGCAGGGTTGTTTTGCATTTTTGTTGTTTGGGGCGTTTTCAACACTCTGCACCAACTGAGCTGTTCAGTTCGCCCTAGACTTTACAATCTGAAGCTTACATCGTCTAGGATGACAATACTGTCTGTCAGGACCACGCCAAGACGAACCGTGGCGAATACAACGTCCAAGCTGAAAACATGATATCCTCGAAACCTCACACAGGAATCGAACTGAGGTTTTCTGCACTCGGTGGTAAAACGCCTAAGTGTTACACCTCGGACGCTAGTTCACATTAAGTACGTGGGTACTATCCAGATAGACTCTTCCTATGTGGTAAATAATACATGCTTGTAGAAAAAGGCTTTTGGTGGTGACAAGTTTGTTTAATTGTTATATCGCCCAGAGAAATCTTGTTTTGAGATGTTACAAAAGATTGAATGATTGTTAACGAGTAGAGCTAGTCGCGCCCAAAGGGGACTAGTACTCATCAGTGTATTTGATTAGCCCAACTACTGGGATTTTTAAAGGGGGTTAATGAAATGCTCTTGGCCGTATGGTTTTAAAAAAGCAAGAACAAAAACCCCCAAAACAAATCGACGCGGGACATAAAAGTGCAATGAGACATCAAAGGTAGTTACATAAAAACAGAGGGAAAAACATCGACCAGTCATGGTGGTTTTTTTGGCCTTTTTCAAAACGAGGATAACAAACCTTCTACACACAAGCCACCGGATGTTGTAAGCGATAGAGAAGTGAAACTTCAAGATAGTAAAACAAATTAATGCTGAAACAGTAAGCGCAAAAATGAATGAACTAAATATTTATTAACTGCTGGGCTTGTTGTTGATCTGCTGTCAATTTAAGGTACATAGATTGAATTATAGTATAAAAAAACAACATAGATTCGATACAAGAAGAAGAAAAATAAACAAAAGAAAGGAATTAGTGGTTATGTGTCATTGCTGCGACCAAAATCAAGTATACATTTAATTTGTATTTTATACGCTGGAATTTAAGCTACGTTCTATTTAACTCTGGTTTAACATATCCCTCCCTCCCCCCCCCCCTCTCTCTCTCACTCTCTCTCTCTCTCTCTCTCTCTCTCTCTCTCTCTCTCTCTCTGTCTCTGTCTCTCTCTCTTCCTGCTCACCCAACCCCTTTACTCGGCTGTGCGGAGTAATAGTAATTGTTGACGTCATAATTGCCGGTGAACAGCTGCGGGCGCACAGCGACTAGCATATTACAACAGTATAATTTCTTTTCTACAGTTAAATCTTGTGTAGTCGCTTTCAGTATCGATAACAGTTATACCATATACGTTACATCCAAGATCCTTTACTACAAGGTGGTTCCCTCCGCCCCAAAAAGCGTCTTTCGTGCAAACTCTCATGAGATTGTAGTGCTATTGTCATTGTTTTGGAGCTCTTTCGTTTCTCGAGAAGAAGAATTGTCTGTCAGCTGCCCCCGTTCTTTCAGAGAGGAGTTATGTTGGTGTTTTGTTTTGGGTTTGGTTTTGGTTTTGGTTTGTTTTTTTCTGGTTGCTTTTGTATTTCCCGCCTTTCATTCTAAAACTACATCAAACGACAAAACAGTCACCCATTCGACCTGAAAATGCCTCATAGCAAAAAACCAATATAATATTGTTGTGGGCCTATACTGCACGGACTTATTTTTTCCGATATCCAAGAGATCCAACTTGGAAAAACAAATAGATCACAAAACTGACTATTACTAATTGCACCGACTTAGCTTACACATACGCAGACCCTAATCAAACGAAGAATATTATATCAGACTATACATCTTACACAGCCTCCTGATCGAACAAGTATACGATCAGATTGTTCCATATATTATGGTTAGCAATACACATTTTAATGCAGTCTAATATAAAACTAGATCTAAGTTTGTCTTTAACAATCGTAACACACCCATAATTTTCATTCACTGAACTAAAATAACTAGATCTAGATTCTAGATCCAGTTCAACATTCTTCATAGGTCAAAGGGAAAAGATGAGAAAAAAGGGTTGAGTATGTTATCTGGATACCTGGAGGTGTCATCTCTGACTCGGAGGTTGACGTGTAATGACCCTCCATCCTTCACGGTCGCGAGCTACTGTTGCACATTCTGCCATATCCAGTCCAATCGATGTTCTTATGTTGTCCATCCATGTCATTCTTTGTTTTCCCCTGGCTCTCCTTCCCCACATCTTTCCTACAAACACCTTTTTCACAATGGTCTCGTGTCGTCTTTCTTAAAGAGAGAGATGGTTGCCTGGATTTAAATATTGGAAAGATTTTTGCTCGTATTTGCAAGCAGAACTTTATCATTTGCGTATCTCGGGTTATTGATGTTGCAGCCACCAATAGTGACTCCCTGCAGGTTTTGGGCAAATGTTATAATGATTTTAAGAGTATCTCTTTCGATATCAAAGGTGATTTTAAGTAATTTTGAAAGGCATTACCAAACACCCGCAAAAAATATTAAATTTCGGGTTTATTCACATAAAAATAGCACCGGTATAATGCAAAGGTAAATACTGAAAAAGACGAACACTACATTGATCTGTCTGCGGTTGTAAAAAAAAGTAATAACAATGCGAACGCATTTTTTTTTTGAGTTTCGTTTTTTTTTTGCGTTTTCTATAAAACGCGATATTTTTAGGGGTATTGGGTTTTAGTGCAGCGAGATTTCGGAGGCTGTATATCGGATTTCCTTGAAATTTGGCCTCAGGGTGGGCATTTGGCGTAGTTGCAACCTGTTACAGGTTTTTTGTTGATTTATGGAATATTTTTTCGTATCACTACGTTCTTTATGCCTCAGAGCGAGTGATTTTAAGGAAAATTTCGGTGTTTTAGCCAGTCAGGTGTTAAAATCCTGGATATCTGGCTTATTTTAAACGTAATAAAAAAAATCCTCTAACAGGTTGCAACTACCTGTACTGAGTTTCATATGTGAAAATATTAACTCAGTAGCTTTAGAGATAAGAAAATTACGCCAGCACTAAAATAACGCTTTATAGGGGGTCGTGACACCCAAAAGTGTAAAAGTTTGCCCGAAGCGCAGAAGCAGAGTACATCTGACTACCTGAATAACGCACAAGACCCCCAAAGTCATAAAAAATGCCCTTAAATGATTGCTAAGTCTGCGCAAAACTGATTTTGAAAAAAGCATGCACGTATTCTTTGTACCACTGACTGAAGGGTCTTTAGACCCCCAAAGGGGGGACATTTCTCGCTCTAATGCACTGTTGAATTGTAAATAGGCTGATCCAACAATGCCATGCTCATAACTGTACCTGAACTACAACAGGCAACTCAATGTCATGCTGCCTTTTCTTTCCTAATCCTTACTATCGCCTTTTTCCTGTACTTCTTCTGTATGTTTGTCACACTCTTGTGACCCGTTATTTCCGGGGTGCCTTGATAGTCAAAGCAGACTTTGTGCAGTTAAAGCTAGAGAGATGAGCAGAGTAAGTCTGATTCCCTGTAAGGACTTATCTGTTGACATCCACCCCTTGCGCAGTTGCGAGCGTGTTTAAAATAGTGTTGCATTTTAAAATGTTGTCAGTATATAATTATTTGTGCACGATATTAAGCAACGCTCTTTGGGAGTGCGCACAGAATCCATACAATCAGTGATTTATATTATCCCAGCCTGCAATTAATAGCTCATCTTGAGGCATTAAAGCTGATAATATACATATAT